AAAGCTTGTTAATATTTTATATAATAGATGTTATGATAAGCCTAAAATATTACATTTAGTTGAGTTTAAAAATTTAAAACATGTATTAATGAGTTTATGTTAAAAATTAATGAGAATATGTAGAGAATTTCCACCATGATATATATTTTTAGTTGAAATTTTATGATTGGTTAAATTAAATGATGTAATCCTTGAATTGCTTTTTGATTGATATCTAGGATTTTTTCTTTAGTGTTTTTTCAATTAATATACAGAGGAAGTGTTTAAAAAAAAAAAAAACAAGCCATAACTCATGGTAAATTTATATATTTGGACTTTATGGAGATAGACAAAACAGAGAAATAGAAATGGTTATAATATAACTGGTTGGTTAAGCCATTTCTTAAGTAATGATACTTTAACCGTATTAGCAAGTAAAAAACTCTTTTCGAATTGATTTAAAAAAAAGTCACTAAAGGTAGGGAAAAAAAAAGACGACTCTGCTGGGGATCGAACCCAGAATCTTTGGTTTCGTAGACCAGCGCCTTATCCATTGGGCCACAAAGTCTCTATGTTTAAATAAGGTTTACATAGCTTAAAATTGTTCGACTGTCTCCAAGAAACCGGTAACGGTTCAGGTGGTTTTGGATTCACAAATCCGATCGAACATCATCACTGGAGTGGCAAGATGGTTGACCTATCTCTGAATCCAACTCACAAGCTGGCCATCTCAAAATCGTTCGACAGATTACGTTATTTTGCTGGTGGATATTAGAGAGAATTGATTAGATAACTTTAAAGAGTTCTCACTTTTGACGCAATGTTTCTTTAAGCATCAGTCGGTTCATCGGCTCACACTCTTTGTAACTAAGAATCATAGAGTTCCATGCATGCTTATCAGTAGAGCTTATGAAGAACTACATCCTAATTTTCCAGTAGTTTGTGATGTCTAAGAAAAGTTGTTGCATCACAAAGCTACGTTCTCTAGAGCTCCATCTAATCTTAAAATAGGATTAAATCATCGTAAGAGCTAGAAACCTAATTATTTAGTAATCCGTTCTGCTACTAGGTGAAAGTTCTAATAGACTAGTGATTAAGGGCGATTAAAATGAAAAAAAAAATAATAATAAAAGAAATGACACATGGATTAAAGTCTCAATTGGTTCTTTCAAACTAATCCTTGATATTCATCTACAGACCAAAAAAAAGATTGAATAGCTTTAAGAAGACAATACACGATAGAATTAAAATTTCTAAACCATTTCTGAAACACATATATAAATATAACATGATCTAAGATATAAATGTTGAATGGTGTTGTCACAATGCTGCCCTGGGTACAAGCTATAGAAGCATGTGGTTCCCGCCCTGTTTAAAACTCAATATCAGTTTGTTTTTTCTTTAAATTGTTAACTTATAAGTCCATAAACATTTTTTTTTTTGCTTCATGCCCAAAATGTTTCAGAGTGTTTCAGGATCGGGCTTGTTCTTGTTCATCTTATATATGTGTCTTGTTCTTGCGAAAGTCCTTACTTTGTACTCGTCATGGCGGCATCAGCCTGTTTCAGAGACGATCTCAATCAGTCGCAGCTACACAACCTCACGCAAGATTATAAAACACTTTTTTACAGTTTTACTCGTGCTTCTCTGTTTTTAAGAGGATACTTGTGTATAAACCGTAAGTATTAGTAAAGAAACATGTGA